GCTGCGGCCCAGAAACTCGGGGCAGCCCGAGTCACTCAGCCCCCTCTGGGGAGGGCCGCAGTGCATGGTGGCTGTTTGAGGCCCAGACCTGTTTGTCAAGAGCGGGGAGCCCCGGCTTGCCTCTGTGTCCATCAGGGCCCCCCGTGGTGCCCCATAACCCCAGAGGTACAGAGCTGCCTGCCTGCTGGCGGGCTGGCTGAGGCTGGCTGGGGCAGTCGAGGGTGCAGTCTTGCTAGTTAGCCCCGCTCTGGTGGTACCTTTGACCTCGCCATGGTGAGAACAGCAGAGTACTTTGTTTATAAGAGTAGATTAGGCAGGAGGATAGAGACAGTATCACTGTTAAATTCTCACTAACTTTGTCAAGTAAGGCAAAGGCAGGCGTCTGTGTTAGACCCTGGTGTTAGTTAATCAGTTAATAGGTGTGGCCTGTTGTCAGTGGCTGGCGCAAAGGACAGCCTCAGAGGTGCAGGCAGGCGTCCTGAAGGACAGAGTGCCCCTGCCAGGTTCCCTCCCTCCCTCCTCCCTTCTTTCCTCCTTCCCTCCCTCTCGCTCTTTTTTTTTTTTCCAGAAATAAAACTAAAGCATATGCTGGCACTCAAGTAGTAGATTAGAAACTTACCTCTCCGGCTGATGCAGTCCCAGCCCACGACTTGTGGACTCCTACCTGGGCCAGAAAGGAAGGACTTTCCTGCTAAATACAATCAGTGCGGGAAATACACATACACTCATTAGACCCCCGTCTCCTTGAGGTTCACGCATCTTCAATGCCGCATTTTCCCAGCTTACATCCAGAATAAGTCATCTTATTCTAAAATCCTGACAAAATGCAACTGTAGAGAGACTTCGTTATTTTTCATCTTTAGAGAACAGCTGAACGAGAGCGTAGCTGAGCTGATTTACAAATGCCCATTGTAACAGTGCATCGCATCGCAGTTAGGTCTGCTTGAGTGCGCTAACATGTGGCGTTAGCTTCCACTGGTTAGTGCTGGGAGGGGAACTGTGACATACCGGTTACCACACACAGTGGTTACACCCACGCCGGTCACAGCCACGCCGGTTACACTCACGCCGATAATACCCACACCAGTTACCACGCACACCGGTCACACCCACACTGGTTACACACACACGGTTCACACCACACTGATTGCCGTGCACACCAGTCACACCCACACCGATCACACCCACACCGGTTACACGCACACTAGTTACACACACACAGGTTCACCCACACCACTTACCACGCACGCCGGTTACCACGCACGCCGGTTACCACGCACGCCGGTTACCACGCACGCCACTTACCAGCACGCCGGTTACCACGTACGCCGGTTACCACGTACCCGGTTACCACGCATGCCGGTTACCACGCACGCCACTTACCACGCACACTGGTTACCACGCACGCCGGTTACCACGCACGCCGGTTACCACGCACGCCGGTTACCACGCAC